AAATCAAGATCCAGGTACCAGGTATACTTATTGATACTCCTAGCCACCTCTTTTCAGTGCACAGAGCTAAGACTATATGAATCTATATCTACATCTATACCGATACATTTATATATACATAGACACATCATATATGTATAGTACACATGTATATAAATACTTATATATGCTATATGTAGGTATAAATGTACATACGGATATATATATATAATTATCTGTATTATATAAACAGTTATAAGTATATGTACTTATATAGTATATGTACTTTTCTAATTCTATCTTTTCTTCTCTGTATAATAACTAGCATGTATTCTTCTAAAACTATACATAGATACATGTTCACAGACACATTATTTTTCTCTAAATTCTATGTTAATACAGTTATTCCAACTCAAATCCAGCATCACAGAGTTCTTCTTCAACTTCTGTTCATCAAATATTTCTAACTTTTTCCACAGTAATAACCTTGCTTCCCAACACCATCATACGTACTTAGTTGCTCTATCCACAATAAATACAAATTGTTTCAGAATTACAAAACCAATATCACTACCAATAATAAGACTTCTAAATAAAGTTAAAGATTTATTTGTAGTGCATTTTGTTCTTTGAACATATTCCAGTCAGTACTTAATCAGAAGCGAAAGTGCTAAGAAACATAAATAATAGGAATATATTACAGAGATTTGGTCTTAGGCAACCGTGGAGCTGGCTAAACAGTCTAGGTGAGGCTGGTGTTTGTGGGTCTGCTGCTGGATCCTAAAATCCTCAGCCAGACAATGAGGAAGGAAAGACAGAGGTGAAGTGGGAGACGCAAGGCAAAAATGAAATCCGTGAAGCTGAGCTAGAAGCTACGAGGGGGGACTGCAGTACGAGTCAGACTGTTACTACCCTGGGCTCTCATTACAGTGTCAGTAATGGGGGTCCTGCGGGAGAAGCCTGTCATCACTGAGTTAAACATGCATCCCATAGAAATGGTAGCAATTATCGTCATTTCTTGCTTACGGATGAGAGCCAGCAGAGAGCTCTAAGAGTTACCTTCACAAATGCATTATCTTACAGCCTTGGTGAAGAGAGTTTGCTCTGGACTGTCTCAGGGGATATATTTTGGAGTGAGTGAGCAGGTCTTACCTGATGGAAGAGGATTCTGGCAAACAGTTCCAGTTTAGCTAACTTAACACGGCATAAGTTCATTATACTCTATAGTGAGAAAATGACATTCAAAAGCCACTTGAATTAATCTTTTTTTGTGTGGTTATGTTATGAACTTGATATATGATTAGGTTCATTTGGTTAGATTTTACTTTTATTCACTTATTCACATGTCCCATAAAGCAAAACTATCTTAAAAGATATACTCACACAAACACAAAAAAAGATACACTCAGAGAAGTTTCATTCTCCTGTACCCTGTTCTTACTCATCCCTTATCAGGTGCCATTTTCATTATATATAGTTTCCCCTTGCTTCTTGCCAAAAGGGAGCATACTGTATATGGTCCACTGTACCATGCAATAAAAGCAAACTTAAAAAATTTTAACACTCCAAATTATCAAATTCACAAAGAATATTTCAAAGAATTCTGTATCTTATTAACACACAGAAGGGTAGTATAAGCAAGATGTTATAAGATGAAATAACATACTGATACAAATATCCTTTGGTAAATGTTAAAAATATAATATCTTGGGTACTTTCTGAAGTGATGAAGATGTTCTAAAACTGATTGTGATGATAGTTGCCTGACTCTATGGACATACTAAAAATCAGTGAATTGTCTATCATATGCTTTCACTCATATGGGGAATTTAAGAAATAAAACAGAGGAGCATAGGGGAAGGGAAGAAAAAATAAAACAAGATGAAACCAGAGAGGTAGACAAGCCACAAGAGACTCTTAATCATAGGGAATAAACTGAGGGTTGCTAAACGAGAGGGGGTGGCGGGATGGAGTAACTGGGTGACGGGCATTAAGGAGGGCACGTGATGTCATGAGCACTGGGTGTTACATAAGACTGATGAATCACTTAACTCTACCTCTGAAACTAATAATATATCATATGTTAATTAATTGAATTTAAATTTTAAAAAATGAAAAAAACAGTGAATTGTCTACTTTATTATTTTTTTTTGAGTAGGCTCCACTCCCAGTGTGGAATCCAACGCAAGGCTTGAACTCACGACACTGAGATCAAGACCTGAGCTGAGATCAAGAGTCAGGCACTTAAATGACTAAGCCACCCAGGCACCCCATGAGTTGTCTATTTTAAATCCATATGATATATGGATTACATCTCAATAAAGCTGTTATTTTAAAAATTCAAAAAATAGGGAAATATAATATCTAATACATTTCATGAATCTAAAAGCAAGGTCTTCCCTCAAGAATTAAAAAGCCTGAGAAATGTGGGTTCAGTAGAGGGGATGACAACTGTGCCTAATTCATGACATGACAACAGGGGATGACAGAAAACCTAGACTTGATGGGATAGCATTTTATTTAAACACACACACACACACACACACACACACACACACACACACACAAAGGTTTTTTTGTTGACTCCAAGCTTCAAAGGTACCAATAATGGGGTGGGATTGCTTATATGATTTTTTACTCTATTAACAAAAGCATGGGTCCTAGGTTATTGCAATCAGAGGTTCTATTCTGTCAGTTGGAGCAAATCTGGAACGGTGTTCGATGCAAGGGACCACTTTTTTTGTTTGTTTTTTAAAAGATTTTATTTATTTATTTGACAGAGAGAGAGAGAGAGAGCACAAGCAGGGGGAGCAGCAGAGGGATGAGGGACAAGCAGACTCTCTGCTGAGCAGGGAGCCAGACACAGGGCTTGATCCCAGGACCCTGAGATCATGACCTGAGCCAAAGGCAGATGCTTAACCCACTGAGCCACCCAGGTGCCCTGGGACCACGTTTTAGGAGGAAAATTGAATAGTAAAGATGAGAAAATGCTTTGAGGAAAGAACTGAAGGAAACAGAACTCCCTTCAAATATTTGAAAGCAGTTACACAGAATAAAAAATAGACTTGTCCTGTGTTCCTCTAAAGGCAAAACAGACCAGAATATAGATGTCATAAAGCAGAGGGTTTCAATTCAATTTCAGGGAAAAAAGTTACCATTGAATGTAGTATTTTAGTGAGGTCCCCATCACATTTGGATAGAGTCTGGAATTCCACTGATAAGATTCCAAGTATCAGCAGGAAGGCTGCCCTGAATCAACTCCATGATTCTATTTTCTAGTCATACCTAAATAGCTTCTGAGAGTATCCTTCTATTAATACAAGATGTGTTATTCACAATGATGACCTTGATTCATAAAGAAAACATTAAATTGTAATCAGCTATATATCTTTGAATGTGGTTGGAGCTGTAGAAGCTTCCTAGAAGTTGGTTACTTGTTTTCTAGGAGTTGACCACATTAATGTGGATCAGACCTGACTGGGCAGGTCCAGATGATGGGTGGGACTATCCAATGTCTATTAGAATGCAAGATTCAAGATAGAACCATCAGTTGGAAATAAACTGGAAGACATATCAGCAAGGCTTCTCAGTGATCCAGACATTAACTGGAGCAAAGATCTGAGGAATGTTCCTTACCTAGGTGTGTATTCCAGCTTCCTGTGAGTACATGAATGCCTCAGGGCATAAGGGGACTGTGAATAAAACCTGTAAGAACTGCACTGATTAAACTGTCTGTAAGGGACGGCTGGGTGGCTCAGTCAGTGAAGCGTCTGTCTGCATTTGGCTCAGGTCATGATCCCAGGGTCCTGGGATCCAGTCCTGCATTGGGCTCCTTGCTCAGCAGGGAGCCTGCTTCTCCCTCTGCCTGCTGCCCCTACTTGTATGCTCTCTCTCTCTCCGACAAATAAATAAATAGTATCTTTTAAAAAAATAAACTGTAAGACTTTAGAATACAAGATAATACTGCTTTGATGCCCCTATGATACACCATAGCACAAGAAGGAGGTGTTTTTTCTGTTTCTGTGCAGATCACAAACTGGCTTGGCCCATGCTCTAAGAACACGGTACCATACCTTTGGGTAGAGAGTTTCAGCAGAGCATACTGCCTATGGTATTATTGGGATGCGGGGGGCAGTGCCCAAGAGGAGACAGGCTGTGTTCTATGGTCAAGGCCCTGCATTTATTTTTGCATGCAGTGGTAAGATGCTAAAGAAAGAAGGTAAAAGCTTCTTCATTAGTATACTGATATATGTCTTGGTGATTCCCAGTAATAAAAAGAGGGAGGATTTGAGTGTAGACTCCCCTCTGGAGAAGGTGAGGGTAAGTAACTATTTCTATAATAGCTAGTTCTTTATTCTAAACACAACCCGTCTGTAAATTAAACACAACTGTAAATTCTTTGATACTTCTTCCATTGAGAGGTAGGATCTATATGCCTTTTCCTTGAATTTGGCCTAGACTTAATGACTTACTATATCCAATAAAATGCAGTAGAAATAAAATAAAATAAAATAAAATAAAATAAAATGCAACAGAAGTGATACTGTGTGACTCTGAAGGCTAGGTCATAAAATGCAATACACCTTTCACCTTGCTTATAGGAACACTAGCGTTTGGAGCCCTTAGCCACCTTGCAAGTAGTCTATCTTGAAGCAGTCATGCTATGAGGAAGCTCAGGCCACATGAGGAAAGAATGTTGGCTATTATGGCTGACCACCCCAGCTGAAGTACCAGCTTCAACCATCAGGCATATGAGGCAATATGCCTCTACATTATTCCAGTCTCCAATGCCTGGAGGCATTGAGCCTTCTCAACTGAGGGTCCTAGACATCATGGAGCAGAGGCAAGTCATCTCTGCTATGCCTTGTCTGAATTCTGACTGAGAGGGTATTCATATTTTGTTAAGGGAAAAATCTATGTTTGATCCTCACAATGATACTGTTGGGCAGGTTGGGCTGGCATTATTATGACCTTCATTTTATAGATTAAGATAACAACAACAAGCAGGGATTCAAACTTACCTTCTTTCAGATTATACAGCCAAGATGTGGCACGCTAATACTGATCTTTGTATTCCAGAGTTTATGCTTTTTCCATATTTTCCCATCTGGATCCTGTGGGGGCTTTAGAATAACCTAGAGAAATCAAGTAAGATATATCCAAAATTTAAAGACAAGGTCAGAAAATGTTGAGTGAATAGAAGCTAACAAGAATCAGTATTAAATGGATGAAACCAGTCATCCTATGGAGAAATAACTATGTAAGATATGATCTACAGATTGTTGCTGATAAAGAAGACTATAATTTAAAATGGAACCAATGAAAACAAATCTTAGAACTTTGAATGTTATGAGGAAGTGTCATAATGATATAATTCTTTAGGGTCTGATTTAAAAAAACAATTAAATAGGACTGTTAAGGAAAAAAATGCTGCAAGTTGTGTTTTTGATAAAATCAAGGCTAAAAGGTGCCATGACTAGCTAATGGTGCTATTTTAGTCACTTTAGAAGTATGTCCTTACAGTAAAAGAAGGGTGCTTCAGACTAGTATAGCTTGATGACATTATCCCTTATGATAATTTTCATTTACTCTACTTTTGCCAAACCACTTTTTGATTTAAATTTAGTTCTTCAAGGAGACTTTTCTACTTGGAAGAAAAAGTACAACAATGCTAACAAACCTACCATGCCCCCTTGATAGGCTCTATTTCCCATTTTTCACTGTAGAAGAATATTAGTATTCTGATTATTCAAGCAGCTTCACACACAATGCCTTACCTCTAGAGTACCTGGACTCATAGTGACTCTATCACCATGAAGACATTCTGCTTCAGGAGTCAGTAGGACATCTTTCCATCTCTTTAATCATGGTGAATACTATAAGGAGGTCACTGGTGACTTCCCTCCAAATGGGAAGTAAAAAAAAAATGTAGTTCACTCAAAGCTTCTCATGAGTTGATGTTTAGGTTCCTTTGGTGATTAAAACGGTACACCATCCGGAGCCCACAGTAACTCCCACTATGTTCTTCACTTCTATTTCTCTATTCTTTAATTTTTTTTCCTGAATATTCCCTTTTCCTTTAAGATAAACGTATTGTAATAATGAATTGGGTTTCTTTAATTTCGTTCTGTAATTGGGCCTCACAAAGGGAATTTAACTCCCCTCGTTTTCATGCATATTTTGCACAGCTAACACCTTGAAATATCCTGTTCATGAAAGGCACCTAGTATTTAACATGTTTTGAATAGTTATCTTGAAAATAAAAATTATTAAAGTTTTGATCCTTCAGATGTCTAGAATGTCGTGCCTTGTGCAGGCCCTAGCACATGGAAAGTTTTCCATTTACATTTGTTGAATGACTGGAAGACTTAAAGAAAATGTTTTATTCCTCAACGATGGGTTTAGACCCACTTTAACAGGCCAGGTCCTTTAATGAAACGGATACAAAAATCATTCTGATAATTTAGCTGCTCCTAAATATATCTCTATCAGATTCCGCTTGAACGTTTCCACCTTGGGGTTTCAAGTCTTATTTTTATGACACAGAGACATTCGCTGTAATGGAAACAACACAAGTAGCACGGGCTTTCCCGTCTTCCTCCCTCTAGGATTTTAACTTCTCCTCGAACACCACCCATGCTCTTCTAGTAAATCCCACATTACAGTACAGGTTTAGGACCGAGAAGAGAATGAAGGAGGAAATCGGAGCCATGGAAACCGCAGAGACGAGGAAACGTGCTCGCGCGAGGGTGGGCAGAAGTGGAAGAAACCCTCCCCTGACGACGGCGCGAGGGCGCGCCTGGGATTACGTCACGCACCTTGGGTGACGTCACGGCAGTGACACGCGGTGACGCCGTTGCCGCGGCGACTTCTAGTCGTCTCCGCCCCCTTCCCCCGCCCCCCGCCTAGCGTCCTTCCCCCAATCCCCTCAGGCTCGGCTGCGCCGGGGGCCGCGGGCCGGTTCCTGAGGTGGCCCAGGCGCCCTCCTGCCGCCGGCGCCGCCCCGGCCGTCCCTCCCCGCCGCCCCCCGCCCTCCGCCTCCGCCTCCCCCCCCGCCCTCCACCTCCCTTCCCCCTCCCCGCCCAGCAGCGGTCGCTCCGGCCCCGGCTCTCGGTTATAAGATGGCGGCGCTGAGCGGCGGCGGTGGCGGTGGCGCGGAGCAGGGCCAGGCTCTGTTCAACGGGGATATGGAGCCCGAGGCCGGCGCCGGCGCCGCGGCCTCTTCGGCTGCGGACCCTGCCATTCCCGAGGAGGTGAGTGCCGGCGCACCGTACACCCCTCCGGGCTCTGGGCTCGGCTGGCTGGTGTTTTTTGGGGGGGAAAGAAGTGGCGGTGGGGGCTCTGGTGCCCTCAGCCACCTTCTTCTTTGGGTTCTCTGGGGTGGGAGATGGGCATCCCCGCCTTGTCCCTCTCCGTCATGCAGCTCCTCGCTACGTAAACACACACAGCGGCCCAGGGGGGTTTCCCTGACTCGCACCCCAGCTTGGGCGATTCGGGCAGCGTTGGTTGAGCAGGCGGCTATCAGTAGGGGGCGAGACTCAGGGTTGGTCCGAGAAGGTCACGGCTGGCTGAAGGTAGCCAGGCTCTCATCTCTTCGATGTTTTCCTTATTTTGGGGTTGGGGGGGTAGGGAAGGGTGGCGGCATCCAGGTGAATAGATGTAGGTTAGTAGCCAGGGCCGGGACCCCAGCTTGAGTTGCTGTTGTAATTATTACATGGTCATGGAGGTGATGGGGCGCATCGTTCCCTTCCACTCTCCCTGATGTCCCCCTTTTCAGGCCGCTGCCCTCCCCTCCACTTTTCTACTTGTTTGGGGGATTTCTTTTCACCTGTTTTATCCAGCAGATGGTTTTGATTTAATCTTTACTTTTTCAGCCTTAAATCCCACTGTTTCCGTTCTCCTTTCCATCCCGGTGTCAGGCCCCCAGTACTTCTGTTTGTCTGTGCTCTGTCGCTGAGTGGTATACCCGCCCCCCCCCCGCGCCCCAATCCCATTCCCATCTGCTGCTCCGCTCTTTTGCCGGACCTGGGGATATGGAGCCCGATAGTTGTCGGACATGCCAGCCTTCTAGCCTCAGTTTATACTTAAAACCATTTTTGCACTTCTCTTAATCTAGTTCTGTTTAGGCCCTCTGAATCATTCTACTGCTCCCTAACATTGTTATCTGTTATCTTGACAAATCCGTCTGGACGCTTTGGAGCTCCTTCCTTACTTTCTGAATCCTGAAGCTGTCAGGATTCCATCAGGTTTCACTTGCAGTGCTGGCACTTTCTGGTTAGTCTTCCATTGTGCATTCACACCTCTTTATTTTTTCCTACCCATTTTTTAAATAGATTTGATTGATTTCTTTCTGTTGTCCTCCTTTTTGTCCCAGTTTTTACCTTTCACTTTTTCCTCTTTGGCTTCTGCCTCTCTCAGCCTGTTTTTTGCATTATTCAGCCTCTTAACACCTTGTCAAATTATTTACATTTGGTTTTTAAGGAAAATTTGTTCCATTTAGTATTTGGCATTGTACTATATAAAATAATACACTTTATTATACTTTGCAAATAATGAGATAATATTTAGTATAGTAACTGCTTTGTAATTATTGATTAGATAACTGACTTATTCCGTTGACTTTGCTCAAAGTTCTCTTTCCTTCCTACTGCTTACATTTGGTTTCCCAATTCTCAACGTCTCATTCTTTCTTCTATCTATGCAATGTTCCTTTTCCTGCTTCATCATCTTTACTTTGGGAATTCATCCCATATGCTTGCTCTAGTATCAGTTTGTTCACAATAATAATTATTTTTCAGCCTCTTATATCACCTCCATCTATGCCCATGATGTGTTCTATACCATCATTTGATCTAAAGTTCTCATATCTTCTTAAATTGCACGACTTTCCAGTTAATTTTTAGTTTATTTCTGCTCAGATCAGTTTCCTCTAACATTTGTTCATTTCCCCCAACTTCTTGGATTCTAAGGATAGAGCTCTTTCCTTCTTCCATTTCTTAGTTTATTCTGATTTCCTTGTCCCCAGTTACCATTCATTTGGCCTTGTTTCCTGGCTTTTGGTTCTTAACTTGCTGAAGCTTCCTCTTGTCTTCCCCACACCTCCACATTCCTTCTTATTTATAAACAGCTTTGTTCCGTTGACATGGAAATTTATTTTTAGGATACATTGTTTTTAATGGATAAATACTAGGGGTCACATCTGCTGTCTATTTTTTCCATGAATCGGATATGCCTTTGTCTTACAGGCACAGGTGCCTCTAGGCTTGCTTTACTCTCTAGTGTATGTGTGGTTTTGTTGAATTGTAACTTTGAAGACTATTTCAGAGTAGAAGGATGGATAAGTTAATGGGTATGGGTCATGAAATTGTAATTCTCTGATTATAACATTGTTTATATTGAGAACTTTAAGACTTAGTAGAACAGTTTGCAGTGATACAGAGAAGTCTTTTGTTAAGTACAATCTCCACTATCTTATTTGAAAGGGCCAGATAGTTGAGTTCTACCCTCTGAAGATTCTGACTCAGTAGGTGAGAGTTAGTGCCATAAGTTTCAATATTTGGCAGGCTTCCTGGGCAGTTCTCATGTATCAATGCTTGAGAACCACTACACTAATGAATTTAAGTTTAAATTGCCAGTCATTGGAAAGCATATTGGTATCTTCTGAAACTACAAGGATACTCCTAACTAAATTTAATTAGAAGTGTTTCATACTGCCTTCTCCTCTCAGGTTTTAATGTTTAGTGATGAATAGTTTTCCCTCTATAATTTCTTATAGGAGCTGATAATAAAGGTATTTGCATCGGGGAGGCGGGAAATAAATGATTATAAGTGGATCTCTTTTGAATATAGATATCAATGTTATGGATGGCAGAATAAATTCCTCCAAGAAATCATTTAAACTTTGAATTTGCTATTGTTAATTCAGTGCGAACTGATATGTATTGTGGTCTTTTAATTTAGGTGTCTTCTTTATGAGTACCTTTAATTGCCAAGTGCATGGAAAGACGTGACAAGTTATGCTTGTGTAAAATGACACATTTTACTCTAAAGAATTCTCTTGCCTGACAGTAAAATAGTTTTTTGTTTTTCTTTTTAAAGTTTCTCAGAGAGAAATTTCAGCTGCATTAAAATTTCTGACTATCAAGGGAAAGCACATTCATTATTGAAAAATTAGAAAGCTATAAGTACAAAAAGTAAAAAAGAAAAAAATCTGTAATCTTGCCACTAAGATATAATTAGTATAAACATTTTGGTGTGTATCCAAAACTTTTTTTATGTTTGTCTAATACACTATATATGGTTTTATAATATTTTTAAACTTAATATAGCAAAATATTTTACATTTCATCAGGTAATACTGTGATTTTTTAAAACTGATCATTTTTCTTGGCTATTAGAGTTTTTTTTACTGCTTGTTATCAAACATCTTGAACATAGAATGTAGATTTTAGTTTTTAAATTGTGTTGGGAAGTGAACAAATTTCATGTCCTGTATTTGTATTACTTTGTAGATGTCAAAATAGGATATTCTGGTAAATGACAGGAGCTTATTAAATATTTATGAAATTAACGTGCTTATGCTTTTGGCATTAAACCTTTACTTCTGACCATTTATATTTCCCCAATGTTTCTTTCAATGACCATATTGTATAATATAGGATAACATGACCGTATGGTATAATAAATACATTTATTTTAAAAAACGTGTTATACGAGGGTGTGATATTTATTAACTATTCTGTGTTTCTGCAGAAGGAGCTTCTTACAATTGCAGTACAGTTAAAATTATATTGTTTTCAAGATCTCTTATCACCAGCCTTAGTTGAGTTGTGTAATTATAATAATGCATTGACTAAGCAGTATTCTGGGATGGGATCTTCTTTATAATGTGGTCCACTGTATTGAAACAATCTTTATGAGCCATGTGAAACCAGGTTAGATTACCTCATACTCCTAAAAGGAGATAGTCCCGTTAGGATACTGTGTGCTTGTGTAGTTCTGGTATTGCTGTTAATACTTGTCTAGGTATTTAATTATTTTTCTTTCTCTTTATTTCATTTTTCTTTTTTTTTTTTAAGATTTTATTTGTTTATTTGAGAGAGAGAGAGGAAGTGAGAGCGAGTGAGCCTGAGCGGGGTGAGGGGCAGAGGGAGAAGCCGACTCCATGCTGAGCAGGGAGCCCGACTCAGGACTCGATTCCAGGACCCTGGGATCATGACCCGAGCCAGAGGCAGCCGCTTAACTGACTGAGCCACTCAGGCGCCCCACTTGTCTAGGTATTTTTGAAGGTGGACAAAACATACCTGTTAGGCATAACTATAAAATAGCTGTTTGTCATTAGTATTTCTAGTGGTCTCTTTGTGTACTCTTTCTCTCTCCCTCCCTCCTTTAGGCCTCCACTCCTTTTATTTAGAAAACTATCTGATATCAGTCACTTACATGTGCTGGCTGTTAAAGGAATCATTTATCAGTAAATAGATAAGAAAGGAATGTTGGTACTGGATGCTCAAATCTTTGAAGGTAGTAAACCTAAGAGCAAACTTGATTTAATCTTGTTTGGATAATAGATCAGAAAAATTATATTTGGATAACAGGCTAGAGAAGTTTGACTTTTCTCAGTTCCCTGTCCCTTGCTTTCCTGATAAGGATGAATAGGAAGCTGTCCTAACAACTGTTG